ATCTGCCAAACCCCTGTGCAGAGGTTTGGCAGCCAGGAGCTGGAACAAGCACCAGTCACTGCTTCAGTCCTCTTTGAAACTGGAAATTTCAAGCAAGAATATGGTCTTCTCAAATTTTCCTTCTTTTAAGGCTGCACAGGAGTCAGGCCAGAATACTGAGGTGTAGCTTTCAAGGCATAATTCAGTCTTCACAATTCTTAATTGTCACAAACACTTTTTATAAAAAAACTTTTCGTTAGGATTCTTTCTCCTGGGAAGCTGAGAGGCCTCAGAAATGAAATGTACCCAATGGTTATCTGCTGCTGTGGGATGCAACAGGTGCATCTGGGATTGGGCTCATGGGGTTGTTTCTAATTAATGGCCAATCACAGTCAGCTGGCTCAGACTGTGGTCAGTCACAAGATTTTATTATTAATCCATTCCTTTCTATTGCTTGCTAGCCTTCTGATGGAATCCTTTCTTCTATTCTTTTAGTATAGTTTTAATATAATATATATCATAAAATAATAAACCAAGCCTTCTGAAGCATGGAGTCAGATCCTCATCTCTTTCCTCACCCTGGGACCCCTGTGAACACCACCACACTCATTCATTACCTTTGCACAATCAGTCAAGACTCATTTCTTCACAGAGCTGAGGATTTTGAACAGCCTCTAACCACGAGCTTCCCCTGCTTGCTTTGTGGTCAACAACAAAGAAGGCTGGGTGCTCTCAGATTTATTTGGAGAGTCCAGGATGGTTTCCCAGTGCCAGAGGGCAGGGCTGGCTGGGATCTTGGCAATGAGGAATTGTTCCCTGGCAGGGTGGGCAGGCCCTGGCACAGGGTGCCCAGAGCAGCTGGGGCTGCCCCTGCATCCCTGGCACTGCCCAAGGCCAGGCTGGACACTGGGACACTGCGAGGTGTCCCTGACATGGCAGGGGTGGCACTGGATGGGATTTAGGGTCCCTCACAACCAAACCAGTCTGTGATCCTACAATGGTGGCCTTAAAATAAATATGTAAATCAGCCAACTGCTTGGCATAAGTAAAATGTACGGTTCAAAGTGCTGGGAAAACAACTTGAAATTAAATTATCCTGCAGCACTTATAAACAAGGCTGCTTGGGAAGTATTATAATTTATTTTCTTCCATTGACAGTAGCTGACACCTTCAAGGGTATGCTGCTCTCTGTTAATTTCAGTTTTTATGTGAAACACTAAAAATGTAAGCAGAATGGAGATGTGGCCACAAGATCACAAAGTACTGAACAGAAGCTGATTTTATTATGTCACTTGCTGTATCTCCTTCTTGCATAGACCTGCCATGCCATTGCTGTTTACTTATTTAAAATGTTAATTCTTGAAACAAGTTTAAGAAGAACCTTTCTGTTTTCATGAAATTACTGAGTTCAAGACAGAAGGGCTGTAACCAGTGATTAAAGCTGGAGCTCTGGTTTTGAACTCCCAACCTCTGCCAAGTATTTTCTTCAATTTGCAACTCATTTTATCTCCATGTGACTTGTTTTCCTATCACAAGGGGAGGGTGTCAGGACCTACTTATAAACCATTGTGTTTTCTGTCTTTTCTGTGTATAAAATGTGCCTTTACTGTTCTTTTAAATCCAGGGCAGGACACCAGCCCAGAGAAAGCAAGGGCTGTGTAGACACAAGTCCAAACCTAATGCCAGTTATTACCAGTGATGCCCATGGCAGCTGCAATGCATTGTGAGTGAAAAAGAAGAGTAAAATGCAGTAATTCAAACCATTCTTTCTCATTATAGACCCCAAATTTTCACTTTTTTTTTCCCCTTTAATGACTTGTTTTTCTAAGAGACTTGGTAATTCAGAAGGAGTAGATTGGATTTTTCACGAGGAGGGGTAAAATAATAAATTCCAAGGAGGACTCTTGAAACTCAGGAAAGAAAAGGATGTTTATTAGTACACAGGCACAACAGCTTGCCTGGTATGCCTTACTAACAATACAAAGCAATAACCTCGGGCCAGAAGAGAAGTTGCAATACATGCAAAAAACATCTGGATTGTGCACTAAGCAACACATTCCACATAGGTACATCTGTCAAATAAACACACATCTACTGCCCTAGGTAACAGAATTCAGAGACTACCTCAGGTACAACAGAACAACCATCACTGAGCAGCATTTTGGACATGAAGCATCCTAGACAGAGACATTTGACCTTTGGAGGCAAAAACTGTAACAGGCAAATAGCTGAGAGCCAGATCCCCAAAGACTTATGAAAAGCTCTCGGTGAAGCCAAAGGTATTATCAGAATGAGGTCTGAAGGGTTTTGCCCTTGGTGAGTGAAATTATGAGTGGGTAAAAATGTCACAATGGGTGAGAGTTTTAAATCATCAGGGTTTAGTGTTGCTGCTAAGAGTGAAAGGATGAAAGACTGAATGTCAATACGAACAAAACAATGTCTGCGTAAAACCCTTAAAATAAATAATACACATGAAGGAAAATTTGGGATAATCAACATGTTCTGAAATCAAAATCAACACGGTTTAAGTTAATAAATAATTAAAATAATTAAGTTCCTTTTTATCCTACAGAACAATAATCAGTATTAAAAACTAGGAAAGCAGAAAGAGGACGGGGACCCCCTCCTTACTCCGAACTCAGGGTGATCAGTGCCACTTGCCACCTCTCACCGCGAAGCTGCGTGTCCGTGTCACAGGACGAGCCAGAGGAAAGGGACAGAAGGAACGCACACTGCCACTGTGAACGCCACAGGTTTTCACCGACACGAGGAGCACTCGCTCACTAACAACAGCTGCTGGGTCGGGGGGCAGAGGGCGGGGGTGAAGGCTGGGGGTGAAGGCAACTCTAACCCTGTGTCAGCGTGTGACGAGCGCTCTCCGTCGCTGGCGGGGACGTGTCTGTGCTGCTGCCCGGCTCCGGGGACCGCGCTCCGGCCGGGCTGCTACGCATGAAAAATGCTTTATCCCCATCGCCGCCCGGCCCCGCCGGGCTGGGAGCAGCCCCCGGGGCCCGCTGCGGGCAGGCTGGGGGCTCTGAAGGCAAGTGGAGAGGCGCTTCGGCCCTTCTGTGCCCGGGGCATCCGCGCCCACGGCGCTCCTCCGCCGGGCTGTGATGCTCCCGCGGGCAAAAAGCTGCGAGGGACCTGAAAGACCCTAAAAGACAGCGAGAGCCCAGAGACAGAGTCCTCAGCGGGAGCAGCGCTCCCTGGAGCGGCAGAGGCGAGGAGGGGGCGGTGGTGAGCGAGATCTGTCCCTCCGAGCGCTGCGCTGGGCACTGCGACACCGCCGGGCCGAGCTGGGAGCAGGCAAAGCCTCACACAAAGCGGGTGCTGCTGCCCCCTGAGCATCGCCGGAGCCCAGACATGCGGCAGGGCTCCGGCAGAGGCACTCGGGCCACGCAGAGGTGCAGCACCGAGCCCACAGCCCAGCTGCCGGGGGCTGCAGAGCAGCTGTTTCCAGCTGTGCTCACGGGCTGCAGCCCCGGCAAGGGCTGTGGGTGACGAGGCGCATCCTCACTTTTCCCTGTGCTTTAACAAAAGCATTGTATCCCCAAGCAAAAACATCGACATGAAGCCATCAGCAAGTCAAACATTACTGTGACCACAATAATTTTTAAACAATTTTGCTGCTGCTGCTGCTGCTGCTGCTACGAACACAGATCAAGCATCCGACTCTCCCGGTTCTGACCCAAAGCGGCCACCGGGGCAAGAGGCAACCTTTGGCATATGAGCAGGACGTGCTTGCCCAGAGGGGTTGAGCGAGCAGCTTCCAGCGATCTCCAGCTCAGCCCCTCGGGCACAGCCCAGGTCCGGCCACAGGAGCACAGCACAGCCCTGCGAGCCAGCGCTGATGCACGGAGCAGCGTGTGAAGCGCACGGCAAGGAAACTCTGACAGGAGCACGACGAGCATTTGGACCCTGTAACCCTAAGAACATCGAGATTTGGTAAAACCGGGTACAGGCAGATAAAGCAGCACTTCACAGCGTACGACAGAGATGCCCATTCACACTCACAGCTGTTACACGTTTTCTTTGTTAACAAAGAAACAACAGAAACAACGTTAAGAAATCACTTTTTGGACCACGTTTTCCCTGCTGCTCCATTACTTCGAAGTGTTTTATGAAACTACTGAATAGTAACTGCTTTTTTACAGGGAATACTCAGTCAGTTGGTTTTGTGGTCCAGATAAACCATGCTCTTTTTGTTTTTTCTCCTCACATCATGCATTGGGATGCAATCAGCTTCTTGTCAATCATTAGTCAGAAGAAACAAACACATTTTTTAACAACAAAAAGCTTCTATAAGTAACATTTCTACAGCAACCATCAGCCAGAACTATTTAAAGTGTTCCTAGCATGTCCTTCTCTCCTGCTGTCTGCTTTTCTAACAGAGGAATTTTCCAGTCCCTGCGACACCTCCCCATGCAGTTATTTACAAGGAGATGGTCCTTGTGGAGAAGGACCTTAATGAAATTTGCAGTTGCTAAGGTACATTTGTAGATGCTGGCGCTCACACTCAGACAGAACAAATGGAACTCGTTGTGCAGCTCTGGGCTGGGCCAGCAATGTAATTAAAGTGCAAATAAAGACAAAAACCACAAGCCAGGCAGGTCCATTTTTCATTGCCAGCGTTAAGAAGCATCACGACTGTGTAAGAGATGTCAGATCAAATAGGCCTAAGTCACAATCTGTTTCAAACATCTGTCTCCCTGAGAGGATTTAAGGGAGGTATACGGTGATATAGCCCTATTTCTTCAACTGGCTGAGTATCATTGGAAAAGTAAGGACACTTTTCCAGCCAATTTTTGTTTTCGACAGTGCTAACACCCATGTTTTATACTATGATGCCTTTTACAGCATTTGAGCTCACTTCCCATGCAGCTACAACAGGCCACTCTTGATGAGGAAAATACAACAAGTACAACAACTACTGTAGAAATGACATCTGTCCACCTGGTACATCACAAAAGCAGAAGCTCTGAAAACATTTACAAATAGCACATTTTCTCAAACAAAAGCAAGTTATAGTTACCAGCTCAGATAAAAATACATACTTTGTGTGTGCTGGCATTCAATGTTTGCCACTGATACGTTCAGTTTCACAGCTAAGTCAACACCAAATGGCTGAACAAAAAAAACCCCAAAGAAACCAAAAACTACTGATTCCACGTACAACAAAACTGCCACTGCAGCCCCAAGTGCTCACAGCTGATCACCACCTGCTGCCAGACAGACACGTATTTCTCCCCACAGTGTGTCCAGAATGTGCCCTGTAGCCTGACTTGTCAGAGAAGCTGCAGGAGGTGCAGGAAAATAAAGTGCCTCTTCCAGAGCTGTGTGCACCACAACTCTCCATCCCCTGCACCACTCCTCTGGGTCCCTCACTCAATAGCTGGCAACTATTTACAACTATTCCACCAGTCCATTTGCTTCCCATGCTGCAAATACTCTCACTGATGAAAAACATAGCTACAAATACTTTTTATACAGATACAATCAGTCACCTTAGAAAAGGCTGATGAGACATTTAAAGAAGAGAATGCTTTGTAACAAGTAGCATGAAATGTACAGCAGGTGTTTCAAACAACTGCAGATCTGAAGTTACTAGATACTGTCTTACTATCACTCCAAGTAGTAGATGAGTGCTAAAATCCTGCTTTTTCAATGACATTAACACAATGAGAACACCATAGCCATTACTGCCTCAGTGAACACATAGTTAGCCATCAACCCAGCCATCTCACTTTGCTTATTTATCCTAACACACCCGAGTCTATTACCACCATTTAAATCTGTACCCTTGATTTGCCACGTGAGATGGCTGCAGTGAGTGCCTGTTCACAGGAAAGTCTCCTGTTTCCCAGGAAATCATGGTCCCTAGCGCCAAACATGATCTTTGCAAAGCAGAAATAGCTTAAGCTGGGTAGGAAGGGTCTCTGCCTTTCACCTCCAACACAGGTTTGTGTTGCCTGAGAGGGAAAGGCAGTGAGACTCTGTATCTCTTATAGGAAAAGAGAGCTGGCACTCTGGTCAGAGCGTGTCTGGCTGTGTTTGGGTGGCGGCAGGCGTGGTTCCCATCCCAGAGCTGTGAGCGGGGCTGTGCAGGGCTCAGGCGGGCAGCCGGGGCTCGATCTTCAGGGACAGCTCGTACAGGGTGTCCTCGTCGATGATGAGGCTCTTGTCCAGCAGGTAGTGAGTGACCTGTGGGGAAACACAGAGGGACAGGCTGCATGGAACTGCCACAGAAACCTCCCAGCTTTCCTTCCCTTTCAGCACATTTTGGGTCCTGGCGTCGCCTTGTGTTGCTTTCTTGAGAAACCCAGCAGCTGCTTGGGATGCTGCTGGCATGAGGATGCACCTGCAGCACTCTGAGAATTAATTAGGATTAATTCCTCTTAGGAATGGGCAAATCCTTTGCTAGGTTACCTCAGCCCAAACAGCCCTTTTGGAGTCTAAGATGAGCCTTCTCTGAAGGCACTGACCAGCTTTGGCCACAGCAGCATCACCCCTGAGAAAGGAAAAGGGACAAGGAATTGCAGGATGCCCCAGCAGGTGCTTGGGGCACCTCCTGACCCTCATCCCAGGATCTCAGGGCAGGGGGAACACACCTCCCTCTGAGCCCCTCACACCCTCCAAGGCTGCAATTCCCAGGGAACCCCCAAAGAGCAAAAATCTTCTTTGGAAGGCATCAAACAAAGGGGCCCTGCGGGGTGAGGGTCTCACCACCCCAAGGACCTGTCCCTGTGTCTGTCTGTCCTCTCCTCCATGCGTGGGAGCAGAAGACACCAGCCTCAGCTCTCAGTGTCAGCAGTGGCTCCCAAGTCACTGCTGCCACAGCCTGATCCCAGGAGCAGCAGGAGCCTCACCTTCTGCTGGTGCTCGATGCGGTAGGAGGTCTGCTGGAACTGGCGGATTTCCCTGATGATGTGCGAGATCTTTCAAAAGAACACACGCGTGTCAGCTCAAGCACAGCTCTGCTTCAGCCAAGCCACACAAAGCAAGAATTCTGCACCAAACTGCTCCATTCAACATATACATATATATAAAAATATATCACTTCAACTTACATATATAAAATATATAGCTTCATTATAGGAAGCTTATATATTTATTTACTTGTAGACCTGGTTGGGACCACTGTCTGTCACAATTACAGCCACACTTCATTCCTGACAAGAGTTTACTGTCTCTGCTAGCCTCTGTTAACTCCTCCACTGTCAGGAGGAGGGAAGGGAAGGGTAGAGATCATCCCCCAAGAGCTCCCCAGGACTTCACTTTCCCAAAGCAAACATTGATTCCTCAGCCAGCCCCGAGTGAGAAAACACTCTGCCCATAATGAAACCTCCCCATTCTTTGCCTCGAGTGACTGCTGCAGAGTGTAGCCCTAAGATGGGCATTAAGCTGAGATCAGAGGAGAAATTTCCATGCCTCCTCCGAGGAGCTGTTACAAAACAGCATTACATGGCACTGGGAGAGACATCAACTTTAAAGTGCTTTTCAGATAGACCAGAGCACACTCTGAAAAGAACATTGTGATTACTGCTTCCTGGTGAATCACTGGATTCCTGTAATTCTGGTTATTTTAAAAAGCTTTTTCTTGCTCCTCCATGAGCTCCAGGCAGCTGCTTTTTGCTGTCCTTTCTGAGAAAGTGAACCGGGGACAAATTCAGCCTGTGAAAACACCCAGCCTGCCAGAAGGTGGGGATAGAAGACTGGGTCGAGTAATCGCTCTCCCAACGCTGCCTCTAGCGCACAGCACCAAAGCAGCTTCTCCAAAGGTAAATTTAGAGGTGTTACAATGAAATCAATAATTAACTCATGCAATTAAACACTTGTTGGGGAAGCATGTAGGAAACTGAAAATTACCATTCTCATTTTGGAGAAATTGACAAGGCCTTCCTCAGTGAAGTTGGGTGTTCCTTCCTCAATAAATGCCAGGTCAGTCAGGTACATCCCAAGGTAGGGAACAGCAGGTGGGTTACAGCTGTAAACCAACAAATCAGCTTATTTGCCTGCAGCTACATTTGCAAATGCATTTTTCTCTAACTTGCACAAACTCTTTATTACTTTGCCCAGTTCTAATCCATGAGTTGCTTTCTTTTCCAGAACAAACAGCTCCTCTGGCTCTGCTTGAGTCGTGTTTGATCCGCCTGTGATAAATTGAATGCATTCTGCCCAATATCTAATATTAATGGCATCTTTAAAATAGACCATTAATTATTCTGGCTGTTCAGTTCTCAGCTCCTCTCAAGATCACTTGAGGTAGTTATGCTCCTCAGTTCTGAAAAGCCTGCTACCAATTACAAAGCTCACAAAAACCCAGGTTTTTGTACGGCTGACATCAGCTCTACATAAATTGTAGAACACTTGACATGCAGTATTCTGGATACCAAAATTACAGAATGTCAAGCACCATCCGGCAAATCAATTAAAGAAAACAATGTTTATGGACTGCTGCACAAAAGCAGCAGGCTGTTTTGCAGCAGGCTGAGAGGCCACAGGAGATGAAATATCCCTGTGCCTTTGTCCTGTCCCTATGTTCCTCTCATAATGTTTTGTCAGAATCATAATTTATTGTCATATGAATGGGTCTGTGACCTGACACAGGCTTAGGCCCAAACCCTAAAATTGTTAACTAGAACAATCCTGTTTTTCATAAAAACTTCAATTTATAAAGCTGGCTTTACACTTATTGAAAAAGTTTATCAGTGTAAGTGAAAGCCCAACAGGGAATGTTCACACAGAAAAATAGTTTAATTTGTTTCAGTAATTCTCTGGAGCCACTATGTTTACCCATCAGGGGTGTTAAATCATAGCATATGCAGCAAAGCCATATTGCCAAATAGAACCAACCTAGAATTTAAAAGGTTATTAGGCAAAAAAAAAAAAAAAAAAAAAAAAAAAAAAAAAATTAAAGCCTAATCACAGCCAATTAATCTTTAACATGAACTATCCACTGCTTATAACAAAACACAGTTGAGTACTGTAGGGAGGCTTACTTTTTGAGCATTTCTCTCAGGTTTTTAAATCTTCCCTCAGATGACACAGTCTTCTGAAGTTTGTCCATGAGTGCTTTTGTCTGGGAAGAAAATGCATTTCAGATGTCATTGCTGGTGCATGTAAATGACTGGAATTAGATTCTATCCAAGGTGTAATTCACTTATCATTCCCACCTCATTTCCTAGAGTAGTACAACAGGCATTACTGAATTAGGAACTCAGCTTTACTGCAGTTCCTCCTGTCTTTCTGCAAATGGAGATTAGGCAGCATTATGAGTGATACACAGAACCTGTACTTATGCTGATGCTACCCTGCAAGCAGAGGAAAACCCACAGATTTATTACATTGATGGTCTGGAATTCAGTTTGCTGTGCACACAAGAACATTACAGATCCTGTATGTGGCTGAGGATCCTCAGCTGCATTTACTGACAGCAAGGGGTGGTCACTGCCTTGGAGCTTGCACTGAGCTGATTTTGCCTCCACGTTCCAGACAGAAGCTGAGTATGTAAATGAGAATATATTCATGTCTTACACAAATCACTGTCAGTGGGCATCACCAGACATTGGTTCCTTCCTAAGTGAAATAAATTTGATTTTCAGCCTGTTTAGGCTACTGACTTGAGACTTGAGTGTAGAGAATGATGAGAAATTCATCCTATTTGAAACTGAATTTCCAATTAAGAGAGAGCTGTAGGCAGACAGAGTCACTTTCTTCTACGTGGCAGGCTGATGAAAAACCCAGATTGCATTCCCAATAGATATCAGAGGACTGTGCCACAACATCAGTCTGCTGTGGGTTTGGTTTCTTATTTTTTAATAGAAAAGTTTAAAAACCAAACAAATTCTATCCATAAAAATTTTGGGAGGTAAACCCACTTACAAAAGTTTGTACTGAAAGAATTTTAAACAGATTTTTAAATAGAAGAATGTAGCACCAGCTGTGAAGAAGCTGAGAAAAGCTGACTGGAAAAGGTGCTACAGTCAGAATTTATTTTAATTGTATTTCTCTGAACCATTTAGAACACAAACCATAAGAGAGTGGATTATCTTCATCCTGACAGGCCTTTTTTAAATGTGTCTGTCTTGTTTTTGTGGCTGGCAGTTTTTGCTGACATTCTCAGCAGCCACTAAGGGTTTAAAGGAGGCGTTCACTGCACCTAAACTTGAGCTCCTAAATGAGAAAGAAGATTTTTTATCAGCAGTCTCTTACTGGGTAGAAAAGCTCAGGAATTTGAGAGGTCCCGCCCTTCCTAAAGGCTTTTTGCACAGGCAGTTCCTATTTTAGGCACATGACCAGACTTTAACCATAGTTTGTAATCACCCAGATGTGTCTATCAGAAAATACCTAAATTTAGTTTACTTGAACATTTCAGCCATTCAGGCCAACTGGCCCCTGCCAATAACCTTGAAAACATTTTGTTCCCCCCCCAAGAAAAAAAAAAAAAATACAGATTTCCTGGACAGAAAATGCCAGTCCCACAATTATCAACACCTTAATGAAGGGATGAGACTACTGTTGGGCTAAAAACAATTTACAATTTACTCACACAAACATCAGCCTCAGCCCCAAAGGTTGTGAGACTTTAGAGGAGTAAGAAGTCAGCCATAGCTCAAGGTAGTCACAATTTCTTCATTACAATGCAATATATAACATTCCAATCCATTGGGAAGTCGTGACAAAGTTTATTTTGTTTTTCCAACCTATCACCTCTACTTAATTCTGCTGCACTGCAGATGCTTTTATCCAATGGGATAAAATTCTATTAAAATTCTATGTAATTATACATATATAATGATAATAATTATTTATTATAAGAAATATATATTATAAATATATTATATATATCACTATATAGTATATATTACATATATTATATGTATACTTATTATATGTATATTTATTATAATAAAATTATATATAAAATTATACATACATACACATGCTTCTATTATAAGATCTAAACTCTTAGCTTACTCTATACAATTACATTACCACACTATAAAACCCTTCACCATCTTACCCAATAAAGTTTCTCACTTACTGAAGGCATATTCTTACTTACAACTATAGAAACACAAGTTTATAATTATTGTGCCTAATTTCTGTGTACTTTTATTTTTACATCAATCCAAGCTTCTTCCAAGGCTGCAGCTCAAACCCTTCAGTATCTGTGGAAGTCTCCATCTTTCCATTTCCTACCTCCCAGGTGGTGGAAAAGCAGAAATATTCACAGGAGGGGCCCTGTCTCAGCCCCTGGGCACGGTGGGCAATGGAATCAGAACCACCACTGTCACTGTAATATTGTCTGAAAAATCCCTTTGCACAGAATTTTTCTCCTGGGAAGCTGAGAAGCCTCAGAGAAAAAATGAAAACAATAATTATCTGATTTACTTCTCCTGTGTTTTGCTGCTTTGGAATTTGTTTGGAGATTGTTTACCAACAGGTGGTTGATTGGTTGGTTTCATGTGAATTATTTCCACTTATTGGCCAATTATGGTCAAGCTGTGACGGGACTCTGGAAGGAGTCACAAGTTTTCTTTATTGTCTTTTTAGCCTTTTGTAAGTATCCTTTCTGTATTCTTTAGTACAGTTTAGTATACAGTCTTCTTTAATATAATATAGTATCATAAAATAATAAATTAGCTTTCTGAGAACTTGGCCTCAGCCTCATCACTCCTTCCAACGACGGCGGCCCCGGCAAATTCAAGAGCCTGCCGTGGCCGTGTCCCTCTCACCTGTTTGGACACCTTGGCCCAGGTTTTCTTGAGCCTGTAGATGGCACTCCTGTTGAGGGCCGAGGTGATCTCCAGCACGCCGTTGTAGTTGTGCATGCAGCGGCAGATGTCGGCCACCGCCACCCACTTCTCGATGGCGCTGGCCCGCGAGGGCACGTCCGCGTAGCTCATGATCTGAGAGGCCACCAGGTTGCTCATCTGGCCACGGAGAGAGAGAGAGAGAGAGGCAGGGGTCAGGGAGATGGAGCACCATCCCTTCCAACGTGTCAGGAATTAACAGGCAAGGCAGGAGAACCCTCAGATGAGCATGACAGAAATGAGGGCTCTTGGAACACAACCAAGGGAGCTGGGGGTGCTCAGCCTGGAGAAAAGGAGACTCAGGGGTGTCCCCATCACTCTGCACAGCTCCTGAAAGGTGCCTGTGCTCAGCTGGGGCTGGGCTCTTTCTCCAGGCAGCACTGACACAACCAGAGCACACAGCCTCGAGCTGCACCAAGGGAAACGTAGGTTGGATATTAGGAAAAGGTTTTTTACAGAATGAGTGGTAAAGTTCGGGAACGGCTGCCCAGGGATGTTGTCTTGTATATCAAGAGTTCTGTTATCATTATGGTGGAGGGTTCCACATCCTCAGAGTTTCATACCTCCTCAGTGTTTCTCACAGGCAGCCACTCTGAGCACTGACTGATCCTTGCAGCAGCCCTCTGACTCCTCTCACTCCAATTCTCACCAACCCACTCTTTTAGGCCACTTGTTCTTATGGGCTACAGGTGTTTCCTGTTGTCACCTGGCCTGCTCTAATCTTTAGTAATAGGGTCCAGCTGCAACTCCTTGGGGGATAAGATTACATTCTACAGCACCTTCATTTACCCATACTGTGTCCCCCTGCACAGGGAGGTGGTGGAGTCCCCATTCCTGGGTGTGTTTAACAAAGCCTGGATGTGGCACTGGGTGCCAGGGTTGAGTTGAGGTGTTGAGGCTGGGTGGGACTCGATGAGCTTGAAGGTCTCTTCCAACCTAGAATTCTGTGACTCATAAACACAGGGAAAGGACATTGGAAATAGACCTCGGGGCAGGTGGAGGGGATGGGGACAGGAAAGAAGGGTTGGGGATGCAATGGGAAGGTCTCCAAGCCATCAGCACTAAACCTGATAGGGAAGTCTCCCAGTAAAGTTCAAGGAAAATGATAAAGGGGAAAGACATGTGTAGGAATACAGAGGGATTAAACAGGATTGGTGTTATATTTCTCTGGAGAAATTGAAGTTTCTTCAGTAGGCTGAAAGGCACTGTGCTACAGTTTAAAATGTTCTACCCTTTAAAATTGCCACTAAAATGCTGAGTACCAATTATTGAAAATTAGAATCTTCATCTGCTTTGATTTAAATTGTTAATTACAAAGAGGCTGCAGCATTCGGTCACTAATAGATAAGAAATCACATCACATTGCAACACAACCCAGTATTTCTGTACCAGAGGTCAGAGGCAGTCCATGGGGTTCCTAGAAAGCAAGTCTGTATTTGAGAGTACTTACATCATTAAAATGTTGACTAGTTTTCATAATATAGGGAGTTCTCTCATTTTTATCCACTTTCATCCAGCCCTGCCCAAGGAACTCTCTAGACATTGATGGGAGAAAAAAAAGCAAAAAAATCTTCATAAACACAGTACAGAGTCTGTCTGTAACAGCCTAAGCAGATTTCAAGGATACCTCAATTTGCTGGAAGCTAATAACACAGCTTTACACTAATTCCAGCATCTCACTATACCATTTGTAATGTTGACTGAAATGCTAAATAGTGTAAAGAAGATTTATTTTTCTCTTAATCCCCTCTCCCCCGTCACCTCATCCCAATTTCCAGCACTGTGACTGCATTTACACCACGTTATCCTTGTATGTGTGCAAACCCTTTTGTCAGGGGCTGAGCTGGGGGGTAGTGGCCACCCACCCCAGCCTGGTGGCCACTGGCCTGCCAAGGGACACTCTGTGCCAGGACTGTCCTCCCCTCCCTGCCACAGACAGTGGGTGCAGATATGAAGAGATAACCCGGGCTGCAAGGCCCAAAGGGATCATCTCCAGCACCAAAAGGCCTCAGGCCCCAGCTAAGAATCAGCATCTCAGTCTGGACAGCAGATGTGGGAAGAGATAAAAGAAATATTCCTGACTGCTTTACAAACTGTAAAAGACACACAAGTTACCACAGAGGCAGAAGCCTCCTACACCCTGAAAGTGTTTGTGACTTTTCCCTGGAGTTTGGACACAGATTCCATGGATGCTTCCCTGGGGATTGAGGGAAAGGATCTCAATGTGTGCCCCACTGGATGGGAAGAGCCATTGAATCCCAAGTTGTAATATTTCTTCACTAGCTGTAACATTAACAGGTACTTTTAACCTCATGCTGTATATATCTATGTATATATCTACTAATAGATAGGTATATATCTATTAGTAGTTTTCTTTCTGTCGTTATTCCTCTGTGGTATTAGTTTGTATTAAGTCCTATGTCTGTTAATTTTGTGTCTATGTCTCAGGTTTAGCTGGGTATGTGTGTTCCATTCCCCTCTGTCAGAGCTGGGGCAGTTCTCTGCTGTTCATGGGGCAGTTTTCTTTATCTCTCCCACAGCCAACCCTCCCTCCAGGAGATCTCTGCTGTCCATGGCCACTGAGTGTCCCTGCAGGGCTGATCCAATTCCATCATCCCCTGGGGAGATGCTGCATTGCCCAGGGGAGGAGCCAAGCATTCCTACCTGGATCCAATCTGAGGTGCTGGCACAGCCCAGCAGCCTTTGCCCAGGGCATTGCCAGAGGAGCAGCTTCTGCTGCCCTGCATGGCCAGAGGGAGCCCAGGCCCATCTGCAGCAGCCCTGGAGCTGCAGAGGAAAACTCCCCCCTTGTGCAGGACCCCTGCTCCAGCAGAGCCACAGCTGGCACTGCAGGAGGGCTGAGCCCCCATGGGATGGGGCTGGGCCACCCCCTGACACACAGGGGGCAGGGACTGCTCTCACTCCGGCAGTGGTTTGGTTTTGTATATTTTTAATTTTCCTAGTACAGAACTGTTATTCTTACTCCCATATCTTTGCCTGAGAGCCCCTTAATTTCAAAATTATAATAATTTAGAGAGAGAGAGGGTTTACACTTTCCATTTCACAGGAGGCTCCTGCCTTCCTTAGCACACACCTGGTTTTTCCCACCAAGACAGTCTATTAAATTAATAATTCATTCTCTAACAGACCGAATCAGCCACTATGAAAGCACTTGTGCACAAGAGTGGGTTTTGGAGTGCTGGCCGCCTCCATAAAGCTGCTGGCTGCTGCCAGAGGCCTGGGCAAAGGAAGGGAGTTATCCCAAGCCCCCCCCCAGGTGCAGAGGCTCACTCGTAGGGGATGCTGCGGAACACGACGTGGTCCAGCAGGGTGATCTGCTCCGCCAGCTCCATGGCCGACAGCGTCTCGAAGCACTCGGGCTTGGGGCAGTCTGCCTGCAAAGCAAGGACAACTCTGAGGGGTCTCTCCACAGGGCACAGGGCACGAGCAGCTGCCTGGGAGCCCTCAGCGAGGCTGTAATTAACTTCGGGATCAGGAGAAATGAGGATTCACAACAATCGCAGACAACACAAACACCCGGCTGGAAATTCATAAAGCAGGCACACACCAGCTCAGAAGTATGAATGTGAGTTAATAAACTCTGCACATTCTCCATTGTATTTGCACATATATTAATATCTTCCCCTTTTTTTAAACCTTGAGATTTTATCCAAATACTAAAGTTTTGACATGTTCATTTTTGCTAGGGGCTCCAAAATCTTACAATCTCCAAACTGAAATTGACATTCCTGGTATAAAAACAGTATATCTATCCAGAAGTACTTTACAAGTTGCAGTTGTGTTAAATTTTGTTGACTCAAACACACAACATTTCTCTAGGAGTATTTATGTTTAACTGTCAAGATGAACTTACCATCTGAATGATATCCTCTATTTTCAAATGGTTATCATCTTGATCATCCTGAGAAAGAGTCCTGAAAAATAAAGTGGCAGAACGTCCTATATAAATATAATTGTGCATGGTTATGACAAAACCTTATCCTAGATCAGCAAAATCGTTTATTTAAAATAAATCCTAAGCCTGCAATTGAGGAGGTAAAGGAAAAAAAAAAATCTGTAGCCTAAGAAGTTATGCCTTGCTTTAATTAAAATGTGTAAACTGTTACAGCATCAGAGACATGCAAGATGAAATATTTCCATGGAGGTTTAAGATCTCTCAGCTAATGAATCCTGGAAATTGTCTTGTTCAGTGTCCCACATTGAGCTCAGTGTGTGGAAATGGACAGCAAACTGCAGCTTGTACTTTTAGCAAGGACATGATTTCCTTTCAGTAATAACAGTGCTAATGAATGTTTCCAATTCTGCTACAAAAAACCTGTTATTAATATGGTTATTTCAGAGAAATGGGTCAAAAATGACCTAGGCAAAAGTAAGTATTGATCAGACATCAACCCTGATGTAACAGACTGGCACATAATTACAGGATCTTACCCCTTCATGTGGACATTACAGACAGAAAGAAACCTTGACAACGCTGGATTTATCTAATATAGGAGTGAGAGGATTCAGGGAGAAGGAACAGGAGAGGAATGCAAAAGGCTGTCAGAAAGCACACTTTTTTCCTTTTTCTATTTTCTTTTCCCCATAAGGGCTGGCAACACCTTGTGCCTGCAGGGCAAGGCGTGTTTACCTCTCCAGGAGGGCCCTAAGCTCCTTGCCCGGATAATAAGGAGTGCAGCCTCAGTCCCTGTAAATAGCCTGCCAATCTGTCCTGCAGAGCAGCTTATTTTGTGCTGCTCCTCATGCCTGGGGGCCTGCAGGAAGGTGCTGCTCATCCTGTGACAACAGCCTCTGGCAATGGAAACCACACAGGCCCCGTGCCTCCACCCCAGGAGTTCTCATCAGTCCTGCAAAATCTGAGTTGCTTAAATAGAACTTCATGTTATGTTATGTTTATGCAGGATCAGGTTCTCGCCTTTGATACTGAAATTGTTGTATTTTGTTAATATGAAATAAAGTATGAATTCTGAAAGGACTGAAAACAGTTAACTTTAATCTTTGCCTCCTGGTACTCTCTACCATCACATCTCATGTTTAATGTAGGCTTTCAGTCTGTCGTTCTAAACAGATGCTTTTTTCCTAGCACAGTGGTCTCATGAAAAAACCAAAACCAACTCTCCTTTTATCCATAAATGTTCTGCAGTGAAATCTGCAGAGGACAACAGATCTGAAGACTGGATAATGGTAATTTTTTGACAGCATCAACAGCAGCTTCCCCTTCAGTCTGGGCTGTTGCCAGCCTTGGGACACCCAGTTTCAGCAGAGGGCCAGGGACACTCACTGGGCTGCCCAGCCCTGCTTGGACAGCTCCCACTGCCCTCCCTGCAGAGCTCCTGGGAGCTGGGAAGCAGCAGATCCTTGTGGGAAGAGGCACAGGAGAAGGCAAAGGCACAGAGGAGCTCTCCTGAGCAGTGTCACCCTTAGGGAGGACTGAACAGGGTCACTCCTCCAGTATCTTCAGCAATGAAGGAAGGAAATTTAAAAGAAACACCTTTCTAATTCTTAGAATCACCAATTAAGATTCTCTCTCACTAGTCTTCATGCCTGACCAGGCCAAATATTAAAATAATTTTCTAATTGAAAGTATGTGTCTCGTCCTTTCTTTGTGGTACATAAAACATATTAAGAATATCTAAAAGCTAGGGCAAGTTAGAGAGCCTGAAGTGTGTTGTTTGGTGAGATCATACAAGGCAGAAAAATTGTTCATCCATCACATTTTGACATCTGCATATCCCTCAATTTCATTTATGTTTAGTCTGAAGAAGAAGAAGGAGGAGGAGCTGTTTCTGGAAGCAACCTGTTTTTCTCCAGATAGGATTATTTATCAATGTGGTTCACTGCTGTTCAGCCTGAACTTACACCTTCCTGCTTCTTTATCAGTTAAATTTTATCTAGATTTCCAGGGTTAGTAAATCAGGATGATAAAATCTCAAGCAAAATGTACATTGGGAGGTTTGCCTAGCTTTCAGAACAGATACTGAATTTAAAAAAGCATTTTTACCCTGAAGAGAAACCCTGTCAGTCCACACAGCAGAAATCCCATCAAGCAAGAAATACCAGCTGCTTTGTTTGATGACTCAAGGCATGAAAAAGCTCAGCATCTCCCATCAACATTTTCCTTGTCATTCATATTCCAAACAGAGCCTTTCCCAGAGCTGACCTGATGGATCTTTGGAACACAAACCAACCTTTCCTCCTCCTCTGATCTCTGCTAACAAGGGGATGGATTTTCCAAGGATGTGCATGCATGCAAAGGCTGGGGCAGTTTGTAAAAAGATGTATTTTTACCCAATATCCTTCAGGGTGACATAGAAAATACAAGTGTTAAGCCTCAGAAAGCATGAACGTTTTTTCATGAATGTTTGAAGTGGAATTTTTTACAAGAAATGCTTGTCCTAAGCCCATTCTGCATTTGTCAACCTTTCAGGCTCAAGAGTAGACTACAACAACTGAGATGTGGGGAAGCCAGGGCCTACAGTGACAGCTGACAGGCAACCCAGAATTCTGAGAGAATACACGTTTTAGACAAAATGCCTGCAGCAAGCACCTCTGCAGAACAACAACATTTTACAGCACTCACTCAGCAAGGGGGTGAGTGACGATTTTTATGAAAGACACATCAACTGGATTACTCCTTCTTCCCATTTTCAACCCATTCCAGAGAAACCTTTTGAATGAAAGTTTCACCGAATCTTCCAGTTACGACAGATCTGTGCTTGCTCATGAAAAGCATGCTGTCAGAAAGCCTCAAACAAATTGGTTTCTAAATATTTGTAACGACAGTAAAAAAAAGCCCTTCAGTTCCAGGTAATTTGTGTTTCCCCTCTAAGCAGAATTAGATGACAGGTCTCAGTTGAGAAGGATGACATCTCTCCAAGGAGCAGGGCACAGGCTGAGCAGCTGTTCTCCAAGCCAGACCCTGAACAGGAGCCAGGAGGGAAACACAAACCCTGGGACCAGCTCTGCATATTCTGCAAGGGAACAGACCAAGAAGATTCACAACAAGTCCCTGCCTGGGTTCTGTTATTGTCCATGCAGAAAGAGCCAGGATGCCTAAATTCAGAGAATTTTGGTGGAGAGGATTGTGGCATTCACATTCTCTGAAAAATCCCTTCACCCAGGGTTTTTCTCCTGGGAAGCTGAGAAGCCTCAGAAAAAAGGAAAACAATATTATCTCATTTGCTTCTCCTGTGTTGTGCTCATGTGGAATGTGTTTGGAGATTGTTTACCCACAGGTGATTGTTCCATTGGATTCTGCTGTGAGTTGTTTTCACTCTTTGGCCAATCAGGGCCAAGCTGTGTCAGGACTCTGGAGAGAGTCTGGAGTGTTCATTGTTATCTTTTTAGCATTCTGCCTGTATCCTTTCTGTATTCTTTAGTATAGTTTAGTATAACATTCTTTAATATAATACAGTATCATAAAATAATAAATTAGCCTTCTGAGAACATGGAGTCAGACTCATCATTCCTGCCTTCATCTGGGGGGAGCACAAATACAATAGAGGATCTCCTCTGTGACAGCTAGAGACCGTGGCAGGAGTGCTGCATTTCCTGACCTTAGTTTTGTGGTTTGGTGCTTCAGGTAACCACAGGGTCCCACCACAGGGCTCCTTGGTAATGCTAACCCTTCATGAAGGAACTCAGGAAACATTTTTCCACTGCAGGCCCTCTCTCCACGCTCAGAACAGTGACTGTAACCCAACAGAGGATCCCCAGTGTGCTGCAGAGGAGGGAGACACGCTGTGGGATGGACCCTGCAGGATGTGGAGCCCGTCCAGAGTGGCTCAGGGAAGCCTTGGCCCAAAGCTGAGCAGTTCTGGGTCTGCAGGAGTGAGTTCTGCAGCAAACAGAGATCCCTGCAGACAACAAGCAGCCAGAGCTCTCCAGTCTAGGGCAGAGCAGGCTCAGTCCTACTGAACCAGCCAGGGCACCAGGGGCACAGAACAGACCCCACATCATCACAGCCTCCTCCTGCACCACAGCAGCACCTCTGCTTTCAGAGGAAATGCAGAAGAAGCCGTGCTCCTCTGTCCCTGGAAGCCTGTCTGCACTCTGGGCTCGTGCAGTTGTGCTCTCAGAGAGGACACAGGCAGGTCAATGCCGCCTCTCCTGACTCTCTTCATTTCTGACCCTTCAGAAATCAGCTCCAGAACTGTACAAGGATGTTTGCAACCTGCCAGGAGAGCTAAGCCCCCTGACAGAAGCTATTCCCCCATTTCATGTCCTGATTATTGCAAAGTCAAGTTGCCAAAGAGCAGCTGGCTCTGCCTCTGAGTCCCCCACCAGGCTGAGGAGCAGAGGGAGCCCTGGATGCCCCAGGACTGAGTGCTCAGTCTCCACAGGGACAGCAGGTCCCTGCTCCCACCAGCAGTAAAGATTATTTTTAAAGCTTAGAAATATCTCTATTTGAAGAATGTGCAATAAAAATTAAGGACTGTGGAAGAGCAAAGGAACGTGCACTCCTGTGTCAGTATCACAGATAAAGTTACACACAAACAGCTGCCGATTATTCCCTATATCCTATAAGGATTATTTTATCCTCATAGCCTGTAAAATTATTCTTTATATCCTATAATGATTGCTCAATCAGGTGTATAGCCTTGCTGAGAGCCTGTCTCGAGCAGCAATTACAGCGTTTTGTTAAACTCTGGAAATCACTCTTAATTACCAGACATTTCCCAGGGGTGATCTAAACACCTCCCCCTTCCAGTGAAAGGGTGAGAAATTGTATTGAAATTTAATTCACATAGAAGCAGGATTGAAATAGTTCACATCAAGTTGCCCAGCATCTATGTTCAGCAGTACTGCCAGCCTTTAAAAGCAATAAAGGAGTTTTTAGCCAAGGCTGAGAGGAAAAACTCTTTTTCCATTTGTTTTTGCTTTGAAAAAAACCCTATAATTTATAGAATGGTCAAAAATTCAGTCTGAATTTTTGAAAAATCTGTAAAAATGGAAATATCTGATGAGCTGTATTCACTGGTGTATCAGACACTGTGCTCAATTACTCAGTAATCAGTTCTAGGAAGAGGGAAAGGACAAACAATAACAACCTTTTCCTAGAACAGCACTAAAAGGATGGAGACAATTCATTGTTTACACATAAATACAAAGGTCCATTTTTTGATGCAACTGCTGGTGGAAATTGGCTCATTTGAAACTGGGTACAAGAAATTGTTGTATGGTAAAGGCCTATATAAATCCATTACTCTCTCAGGAGCAGACCAGGCTTGCTTTAAAACATTTTCTTGAGAAGCTGAAAGTTGTGGGGTAATTTTACCTACTGGCTGTCACACACATTATCAAAACCCACATCATCCTCATCCTTCTTGCTCTTTTGACTTGCTGTCTCTTCCAAAGAAACATAAAACGATGTTTTTACTTGGAATAACAGCACACACAGCATAATTAAAAGGATGATTATTTTTGTTTATGTAAGAAGAAACATGGTTGAACTAAGAATTTATCTGGTTTTTATCTTCTGTTTGATATTTGTCCTCACAAGTGATTTTTTTTTCAGACCTTTTTCTTTTCATATATCTGTTGGAAACCTGTCAAGTGGTCTTAGAAAACTCAGGCATACTCTATTTATTGCACACTTATTGGCTTACCTGCAGAATACTGACATAAATGTTAATAAAGCATACTGTAGATTTATCTGTGTTTTTCATGATGTTTTATTTTAATCACTCCTTAGTCTGCAGATGTTTCAACTAATTTATTTATTTAATTATTGCTCAGTCTTTAAATGTTTACTGCTCCACAGGATTGCAGAACAAAGGACTTGAAGCCAGTGGCTGTAAAATATTCACACTTTGCAGACAGAGCTGTTTTCACTCATACTTGAGGGCTGAACTCAAGGCTGCCAGCTGTTCTGCAGCAAAGCTTTCCAATACAGGTATTTTTATGAATGAAACTTAAAACAGGCTCTGCTTTATGGCTCATAAAACACTTAGCAATCCTTCAAAATTAAATACTCTGGAGGGAAACCCAGCCCTGTGAATTCTATGATACACAGTCTGTCTCCCTCTGTGCTACAGTTAACGTGTGAAATAATTAGAAATGCATTTACCTCAGTATGTTTGCAGTGGCTTTCCTTTCTTGTGGCAGAAGGTCAGGGTCTCTCAAAACTTCCTCCAGCAAATTTAACACATTCATTTTCAGCTCGTTGTTCAGCTCAAAATCCTGAAAAGGAAAAAAGTTTTACAACTTTTAGTCTTAACAGCATTGAACAAACAACTGAAAAATTGTATTTTAATGGGTTTGCCTTTTCTTTTTCAATTAGGTTTGAATTTTTTTGTTTGTTTTTGTTTTTGTTTTACTACTACATTTGAAAATATTTAGAGAAAGCTGTGGTACATAAGTAAACTGGCCACAAATAGGATCTCCCAAAGGCTGGGATTTTTCTCCTTTTTGACCTTTGCCTTCTGTGTGAGACAGGATGACCAGGGAACCTTCATTTTCTGAATTATCACCTGCACCTGGCGATAACATTCTCTCTGTACTTAATTGCAGTTCTGGCACCACTGCCCAGCAGGGCAGGACCCTTCCTCTCACTGCTGCCTTGAGGTTCTCTGTTCATCTGCCTCCCCTCTGCTGTTTCTTATCTCATACCCACCCTGTTGGAAAGTCTGCTTTTTGTGGGGTACTCAAACCAATAAAATCACTAAATAATCTGTCCCTGCGCTGAAGAGCTTCAGCATTTTAATGACCTCTGGGGCAGACTGATGCCTGACCCAGGACTGAGATTCAGGGACATGCAGCAACCTCATCTCAGTCTGATCAGATCTTACCTGATCTCTTATCTCATCTGATAAGATCCCTTATCTGAATTTGGAGAAATCAGACAGTATTAGACAATCTACAGACACAGAATGTTCAAGCTTTGAGGTAGGAAGTTACAGGCAACTCTTGGGGTAGACTCCAAGAACTCTTGTATTCAGGTGTTTCATAGCATTTTGATAGGAAAGCAAATCCCAACCCTCCAGCTGCCTGGTGCACCACAGATCCTCCCTGATAACCCACAGCTGCCTGCAAGCAGGACCACGTGTGTGCAGAGCGCCCTCTCGTTTCCATGGCAACCGGAGGCACAGTTACTGAAAATGGGGAAGATTTGGCACCTTGGCACAAGAGTGTGGTGTTTCACTCCCAAAAAATCCCCACAGCCCCTCCTGTGGTGAGGGGCTCTGGAGGTGTGTGCCTCTGGGAGCAGCAGAGCCAGCCCAGATGAGCACAGCTCAGGTGAACCCAGCTCAGGTGAGCACCAGAGCACTCCCACAGCCACCAAGAGAGGTGTGAGGCCTTGAGAAGGCTGCCCTGGAGCAGAGGCTGGGCAGAGCTCCAGAATAAAGCAGGGATTTATTCAAAGCATCTCCTCCATGGATCCACCCTGGGCAGCACCAGAGCCCAGCCAGGGCTGCACCCAAGATGAACCAAAATGGCCCCAAAATGCACGGCCGGGCACGGGGTCTGTCCCTGGGATCAGTTCTGCTCCATTTGCATCTTGCAGTTCATTGTCCCATTCCAGCTTTAGTCCCTGCAGTCCCACCCTGCTTGTTTTTCTCTCTCCAGCCCACGGGGTTTGTGCTCTTGGGCTGAGATTTGGGTCATTTGTTCCCCAGCTGGAGCAGGAATTGTTTTGTCTCCCTGCCCTGTGCACAGAGCTCAGCATCCCCTGATGTGGAGCCCAGACCCACACACTAAAGCAGCACAGAACCTGAAAAATATCAAAGCTAAAACCTGAGGTGGAGCCTCATTTGGAAATGGGAGGGAATGGTTCAGAGCAGGAGGGGAATGAGTGCTCATCACAGGATGTGCCACAGCCACGCTCACAGCATTTCTGAGAAAGGTTATTGCTCCAGTGTCAGCCCTGAGAGGAATGGAGGATTTGTCTTTCCAGACAAGCTGTGGGTCTGCTGGTGGATAAAACCAGCACTGGGAGAGGAAAGAAACAATGGGAAGGATTCCACTGATTGGTGAATGGAAAAAGAGATTTGCCTTTACTAATAAACTTTAGGTTTGCTGAGAAATGAAATTAGACATTGAAAGGTGAAAGAAACAGTGGGGAAGAAATACCCCTAAATTCCATAAGAATTCAAAATTAAAAGGGAGGGTTGTTCCTTAGAGGGAAATCTTTGGGATCAGGTGTTCTGGGAAGTCTGAACCTCTCGAGTGCCTCAGAAATGGGGAAAGAGAGAAGGGAAATGTGGCTGGGAAATTGGGATAAAAAGGAGGCTGCGTCCTCCAAAAATGGGAGAGACCCCAGGGGAATGGCCCATGGCCTCTGCCTTTATTGGAACAAAGTAAAGGACTCCTCTGCCTCCTTTCTGGGTGTAAACCTCTGCTGTTTGTGGGTTAATTTTCCTGACAGCACTCAGACATCTCCTGCTCTGGGCATTTCCCTCCTATTACAGCACCGCCTCCTCATTCCACCTCACCTGGGCCTCAGCTAATTAATACTCTGGAACTGATTAATATCTGTGTCTTATTTTTTCTGGAGATGTTTACCCGTAGTTGAGGGTGTTGGAGAACAGGAAGCTGGGGTATCAAACACTCAGCTCAAAGCCAAGAGAGAATTATTGCAGGGCACTGCACTCTGTTTTCTAAAGCACATTTTGTATAGCCACACTCTGAAATGCCTCCCTTAGGAGCTGTTTTAGCTGTTTGCAAGGAAAGACAAGAGAACCTTTTCATATATTTGGGGTATGGAAATGGGATTAATTAGAGAAAACACGAGGAATGTAACTAAACTACATGACATTACTGTGCACTCCGGTGGTTTAGAAAAGAAAATAATTTGAACTATAAAACTATCAAAACTTAGTGAAAGGAGAAACCTGGAGTCTGCACAAGCCTAAGCAACCAGTGTAATTAACGAGTTTTTCCTGTACCTCAGTGGCAGACACTGTGTCAAAGAGGATGGTATCTCTGCAGCCTGTGCCACAAAAATACAGTGGGGTTTCTCTTCCCCACTGTTTCTTTCACCTTTCAATGTCTAATTTCATTTCTCAGCAAACCTAAAGTTTATTTGTAAAGGCAAATGGGCAGAATGGTGCCCAGGAGGTGACACATCCCCCATCCTCATTCAGCCCTGCTGGGTAAAACCCTTGGGCAGATCACATCACCCTGGCCAGGATTTTATCTCCAGGCACAGCTTTCAAACCACAACTGGTTCATTCATTACAAGATATCTTCTCTCAGGATGACTTGTTTCATTGAAAACAGACCTCTGACGAAATAAGTCTAGAATTGTAAAATACTTTCATTTGCAAATAGGATCAGAGAACCTTGTCCATAATTATCAGATTCAGCCAAACCAAAGCATTTCCAGTTTTTGAATGGTTACATGCTAATTCTTATAATAATGAGAATTAATAATTTGGTCATTATCATTAAAACTTGTTTTACTGAGTAATCTCCGTAAGAGAGTTGTTCTGGAATTGCTGGGGAAACTCAAATTTATGGTTTTCTTTTGTAAAGTAATGTAATCTGTTTCTCATAGTGTGATGAGGGGAAAAAAGCCCCTATGAATAAAGGTGGGAATCAGAAGAAAAATGAAGAACTAATCTCTTTTTCTAGTGAAGGCTGTTACCTAAGTGGTACTGAGATTCCAGTGTGATGAGCCATATAAATTAAAAAAATAACAGGGAAAATGTTGCATTTAAACATGTACATGCACTTAACTTTTGTGGAGAAAGGTTGACAGGTTTGTATCATAAGAATGATACAAACACCACAATACTTAGCAACCAATTTTAAGTATAATTTAAAAATAACGAAATAAATATATGCAGATTATCTCTGGCTGTATTATGGGTGTCACACATGAATATTTATCTGTTTATACGATAGGACACTTAGATCCACAGGCAGGTAGCTATTTATGGCCTTAGATACATGTGTATCACAGCTCCCTACATAATTTTACACCACTTTTTTGACTTCTAGTTCTAATTTATGTATCAGAGAAGGAATACAGTTGGTCAGACAGGAATCCTTCAATTTCCCAGCAGCAGATTTCAATCTGACAGTGGTTCAGTTCTTCAGGAGAGGGTCACATACCTCTAATACATTTTAGAGTCTATAGTAGCCTAAAGATTTGTGGATATTACTCAGATTTCAAATCATTGGCCAGAAGAAAAGAGAGGGCAGCAGAGGCAGAAGAAAGCAAGGGGGGGGAAAAAAAACCCATGCTAAAATGCACTTTAAAACTAAAACCAGTAGATTTACTGTAGGTGGTTTATACAGAGAATGTATTTTCAAGATTTGACATGAGCTCAGTAAAACCCCAGAAGCTTTCCCTCTCCCCTTTCTTTGAGTGTTCCTCAGTGAGAGGAAACATTCTGCATCTAAACGATGTGGGGAACACTGAATAATCCAGACAGGTAAAATCAAGCTAAAGCAGGAAACATGATTTATATTTGAGTAGGCCAGTGAGAAGAACTACAGAAGAACAGGGTGGAGGAGGGAAGAAAGAGGCAGGAGGGGATAGAGATCAACTGGATGACTTTTTGCAAGGAAATTGGAATGTTTTTAAGTAGATGTGGACTGCCTTACAATTTTCCTGTAACTGTCCTCATGCCAAAAAGAAAGCAGGTAATTACTCCAATGGCAGCAGATGAGTGAGTCTTAATCTTGTGCACAGGAGATCAAAGACCATCTGAGCTCAGTGAAGTTAACTCACTGCTGCAGTCCTCCACTACAGTATTTCATTTTGAAGCACAAAACCACACTTCACCTACCACACACAACTGTGTTGAGCAAAATCTGTGTAAATTCGCATGCAACAAAACGTTGGCGCAGGTGGAAGGCAGAGATAAATGGAGTTATAACTGGCTTTCAGGAAAATCATCCCTGAGCTTGAAATAAGTCTGGCTTACTTCAAGAAACAAGCTGTTTCAAGGCAGCCTGGGGTCAATTTGCAATGTTGTCAAAATACAGTGTATCTTGCTAAGTGTGGCTGAAATGTAGTTTGTTCATATTTCTACAATTAACTTAGTATAAACTCACCAAATATCTTATCCATTACTTTATACCATTTAATATGAGGTAAGTGGGGCTCATATAACGGATTTTCTATTTTTTTTATTCCAATGAAATGGAAAGAAATGGAATTGGCCAATTCATGTGAGCTAACACAATTTTTAACTAACTGAAATAATCTTCTCTTAGGCAGCCCTCTGCGTCCAGGAGTTGTGCCCCTTCCCCAGGTGCTGTCAGTAGCTCCCAGTGGCAGTGCTCCTGCTGGAAGCCACCACAGCTCCGTGGGGATGCCCAAGAGCACGAGCTGCAGTGGGGCTGGGCAGGCATCAGGCACACATCATGACCTGTATTCCCAAATATGAGCCATGGTCCTCTCCCCAGGCCTTGTGGTCACTCCATAACTGTGCTGGGCTGTAAGATATGTGTGTGTTCTATTCCCACCTGTCAGAGCTGGGGCAGTTCTCTGCTGTTCATGGGGCAGTTCTCTTTATCTCTCCCACAGCCAACCCTCCCTCCAGGAGATCTCTGCTGTTCATGGGCCATTAATTATTAATTACCTTCTGTCCATGGCCACTGAGTGTCCCTGCAGGGCTGATCCAATCCCATCATCCCATGGGGAGATGCTGCATTGCCCAGGGGAGGAGCCAAGCATTCCTACCTGGATCCAATCTGAGCTTTGGGACAGCCCAGCAGCCTTTGCCCAGTGCATTGCCAGAGGAGCAGCTTCTGCTGCCCTGCATGGCCAGAGGGAGCCCAGGCCCATCTGCAGCAGCCCTGGAGCTGCAGAGGAAAACTCCCCCCTTGTGCAGGATCCCTGCTCCAGCAGAGCCACAGCTGGCACTGCAGGAGGGCTGAGCCCCCATGGGATGGGGCTGTGCCACCCCCTGACACACAGGGGACAGGGACTGCTCTCACTCTGGCAGTGGTTTGTTTTTGTGTATTTTTAATTTTCCTAGTACAGAACTGTTATTCCTCCTCCCATATCTTTGCCTGAGAGCCCCTTAATTTCAAAATTACAACAATTCAGAGGGAGGGGGTTTGCATTTTCCATTTCAGGAGAGGCTCCTGCCTTCCTCAGCAGGCACCTGGCTGTTCACACCAAGGCAGTGGCTCACGGACACTGTCAGGCAGCCGGGAGGCTGTGACAGAGCTGCTCCAGCTGAGGGCACTGGGAACAAGCCCTCGGCTGCCACTCAGAGCTGGGGAGACTGGAGGGGCCAGATGTGAAACCTTCCTCCTTGGACAAGCCCCACTTGAGTCTGCTTGCCACTGGAGCAGAAGGAGCTTCACTTTGCACCATTGCTAAATAAAACAAGGCTGCAAGACCTCACTTGGAAAATGAAACTCGTACTGAGACTTCCTGCCCCTGGCGCCCTCTTGCCTTCCTATTTTTGCACCTCTGCAGGAGCCAGTGGGAGTTTTACCCTCGTGAGCCCTTTCTGTCCCCAGCAAGGCTCCTGCTCCCTGTGCTCCTCTGCCTCATCACTTGTGTGTTCATTGTTTGCAACAGGAGAATCCTGCTCTGGTCCTCTCAGTCACATTTCAAAGCCAAAATGTAAACATGAGCATTCTGCTGTTATTTAGGGCGAAAAGAAAGATTTGCTGGTGTACAGGTGTCCGAAGGAAAAAAAAAAAAAAGAAAAAAGAGGAGGGGTATGGAATAAAAATAACAGAAATGTAAACAAAAAAATCTGGAATACCTAAAGCTACCTTTCATATTGTGCTGGTTTTGGATGATGAGCAGCACAGGTTTGGCTGCTCTTGCTCAGGGTGCTACAAACAGGGAAGCATGTGTCACCTCACCTGGGGATAGCCTGTTCCCAAAATTTTATCTGTGCCTTGACGGCTCCTCAGGACATTCATTAGCTCCTTGTGCCCTCCACAAAGGGCTGCAGATCTGGCACTACCATGTGTACATTCACTTGAAATATAAGTGAGGCTTTTATAGTGTATAACCCATATTTTAAGAGCAATTAATTCTTTTTAAAGAATTGTTTAGAATGGTTTCAAGATAACAAAACCACTTTATGAAAGCACATCCTCACTGAATAGGCTGATTCATTAATTTTAATGATTCTGTTTTCTGCTCACAGACAATTCCACATTAAATGCTGTCCATGCTTAGATGAATTAAAAAAAACTGAAATAGAGCAACACTAAACCATCCCCAAGTGTGGTTGTGACACAGCTGCGTGGCAGTGGAAGCACAGCCCAGTATAGACCTTCCAAACCCCAGCCAAGGATTTTCTAGAGCAAAGAGAGCAAACACCAGGCCCTGAACCATTTCTTTGGCTAACTCCTGCACCCCTGGTTCGTGCACTAAGCCTGACCCATGTTCCTACATGCAGCAGAGCAGCGGGCTGAGCCAGCCCAAGGGCTCCAGAGGGAGGCAGGGAGGGTAGGGAACAGGGAAGTGGGATGATGCATGCCAGAGCCCTGGAGCAGATGGCTGTGAGTGAGTCCTGCACCAGTGCACAAGGCATCAGGACAGCAGTTTAGGCCCTGGTGAGGCAGAGAGCACCAGGACAGAGCTGCAGAACTGGTCAGGAGCTGCAGCACTAAAGCAGGTCTGCAGCACCATCTCCCAGCTGACAGGGAAAGAAGGACACACTTCACACAGCCATTGACTCTGATTCTCTGCAGCCAGTGATGAGGAAATGGCATTTTGCCAAAAAGGAGGGTGTGTGGTTGGTCTCCTTTAGTAGTGGCTGCTAATGACCACAAAGATATTGGGGCACTGCAGGAACAGTCTCTGTACAGAGAGAAATTGCCCATTTGGTGCTGGGAGTTTTTGTAGCAAAACCAAATTCAAAGCCAGGTAGAGGGAAAACTATAAAAATTGCACATTTGCCTTTGCAAACGTCCGCTTATTTTCTCTTATTTTCAATTATTTTTCACTTACTTTCACTTATTTTCAATTATTTTCACTTATTTTCACTTATTCTGGAAGCTGGTTTTTTGTCCTTGTTGTTTTGGTTTTGGGGTTTTCTGGGGGGTTTTTTAGTTTTTTTTTCCTTTGGTTTTGTTGTTGTTGTTGTTGTTTGGAGTTGTTTTAGAGTAAAATCTGCCCTTTCTTTTGAGAATCAAACCTGCTCTTGGCTGCTCATGAAGACCAAGGACATCTCAGCCAAGGTTGCTGAGTATCCAGAGAGCAATGCAAATACCTTAAAAGGTATAAAAGTTTTTGGCAGGTTTGTTGTTCTTAAAGAATTTCAATGCTTACATTGTTTTGTCATTTTGGAAATTGAATCAGGATTCCCTCACCAGACACTGGTGGCTCAGGATCTGCAGTTTGTGTTGTTACAGTAAAATAAGCTTGGAGCTACTGCTCTCCCAGGACTCTGCATCTTTACTGCCAACACTTCACATTGTTTGGCCAGACAGCAATTCTGCACTAGCCCTCCTTAAAGTAGTCCTGTCCCATATTTTTTGGCAGCAACTAGTCAGTCTTTTCTGGTTTGCTCAGGCCTGTCCTTTCTCTCTCCCTAGTCTCACAAGTAAACAACACAAAAATCTGATTATATGCTCTGCTGCTGTAGCATTTCTTACTTTCCACGCCAAAGCCCTTGCATTTTGGGTTATTTGCTATATTGGAAGAACAACAGACTAGAAGAGCTAAAGAATTAAAATCTGACACCTTTGCCATGGAAAAAATAAATGGCAGTGAGAGACCAGGGAGTGCAGGTAATAGCTTCCACTTTGAAAATTCACAATGAACTATTACTCATTATTTTTGACCTCTTCATATTTTTACTGGTATTTTTACAATACCAATTGTAAACATCATGCAAAAGCAACTGCAAAAGAATTCAGTGAAACTACTTGTAGTCATGCCTAACATAGATAAAAATTTCCACATTTCCACAATCACATAAATTTTAATTAGCATAGAGGATCAGCTCAAGTCATAGAAGACATTTAATATGAACTGGAACACAATAAGCACCTAGAGTACCACAAAACTGTAATAAAAGCCTGCTGCCACTTCAGTAACAGCTCAATATTTGCTTGATTTTGACTTTAATTTAACAGGGAGTCAAAACTTGGTGTACATAGGCTGCTCCCAGTAACTTGAAATGATTAATCACTCCCGTGATACCAAGATAGATTTTAGTAATCTCTTCTGGGCTGTTCAGCTTTTCAAACAAACCAATTTTCCCACTTACACCTCTTACTGAGTTAATTCTCTAGCAAACTTAGCCTCCTTGAAAATTAAACCCTTTATATGGGAAGAAGGGAATTGATTTCACATAAGAGGGTTTGACATTGCTGCAGTTAGGTTTTGAGATTAAGTATCCTTTATTAGCAGCCTGAAGTGACAAAGCAGTCTGTAAGTGCCATGAAGCACCATCTGCACAAGGTCTACAAAAATCTTCCTTCCTTCCTTCCTTCCTTCCTTCCTTCCTTCCTTCCTTCCTTCCTTCCTTCCTTCCTTCCTTCCTTCCTTCCTTCCTTCCTTCCTTCCTTCCTTCCTTCCTTCCTTCCTTCCTTCCTTCCTTCCTTCCTTCCTTCCTTCCTTCCTTCCTTCCTTCCTTCCTTCCTTCCTTCCTTCCTTCCTTCCTTCCTTCCTTCCTTCCTTCCTTCCTTCCTTCCTTCCTTCCTTCCTTCCTTCCTTCCTTCCTTCCTTCCTTCCTCCCTCCCTCCCTTCCTCCCTTCCTCCCTTCCTCCCTTCCCTTTCTCCCTTCCCTTCCCTTTCTCCCTTCCCTTCCCTTCCCTTCCCTTCCCTTCCCTTCCCTTCCCTTCCCTTCCCTTCCCTTCCCTTCCCTTCCCTTCCCTTCCCTTCCCTTCCCTTCCCTTCCCTTCCCTTCCCTTCCCTTCCCTTCCCTTCCCTTCCCTTCCCTTCCCTTCCCTTCCCTTCCCTTCCCTTCCCTTCCCTTCCCTTCCCTTCCACACTCCTCTGCATCCATGTCAAATTCTCTCAGCACATTTCCCACCTGGCAGCCTCAAGGATATTTTATCTATAATATTGCACAAACCACTTGTGTTTCTTGCCCTCCCTCCCCTGCCAACACCATTTTGCCATCACAAACCAAACCCTCAGGCGCGACTTCCCGTGCACAATGCACCGCCAATAAATAAACAAACGGATAAACATCTGCATGGGCACAGGAGTTGCTCACCACGGGCAGAGCAGCTGGGCCGGGCTGCCCGTGGCAGGAGCAGTGTGAGGGGCTGGCCCCTGCGAGTTGGAGGGGGTACCTGTGAGTGTTTGGAGACCCAGTGGCGCAGGACGTTGAGGACGCGGTTGGTGGCGGCCCTGCGGATGATGAACTCCTTGTCGCACGTGCGCTCCGAGTTGTTGAACCCTGCACACAAACAAACCCACGCTGCAGTCAGAGGGATGGGGAAAACTAAAAATAAAATTAAATTTAAAATACAATAGAGGCGACCCGGGCAAACTGAAGGCTTACAGGATATTTCTGTGCAATAAAAGGAAAGGCTCCCGACAGACGGTGAAATGTGAACATCTAGAGCAAAGAAATTCTGCAGCATCAGTGCAACACAGCCTTGCCCATCACAACACAGACACCTCCTGGGGTCAGCACTCAGCTTTAGAAAGGTGAAGAATAATTGCCTGCGCAATTAAATTTCAAGGCCTCCCTTCAGCATGGAAGAGATAAACTCTATCAAGAAATAAAGCGAATGAAAAACCCCTGAAAACAAAGAAGGATTTTTTTTTTTTTCAGTATGGAAGACATTTACAGCAAGGAAAAATACCAGACCAAAGCTAGGCCTGTAATCAAACAGATTTGAAAAGTCAGTATGACTTAGGAAACAGGTAAATTTCAGAACTAGTAAAGAAGAAGGGGAGGAGAACAGTTTAAACACAGAGGAGAAAAAGGTCAGCATGAGAAATGTTCCTTTTCAAGAGCAGTATTGTACAGGCTGTAGTAATCAACACTTCAAATAAGTTACTTGGGTTTTTTTACCACTGGGATGACAAGAAAATGCAAAGATATATGGAAAACACATTTATAGACCCAACTGCCTGAAAACTAAGATTTTCCAGATGCATCGTTTCCCTACTCATGTATTATGGTCAATTTCTTGGGTTTTTTTCTCTTCTTTTTTTTTTGTCAGTAATATTTACTTATAAAGAAATAGTTTTAATAATAACCAAGAAACTTTTTCCCTACATTCATATTACTGTTTCTCTTTTCATTCTGCTATAGCTTTATTTAAAAAAATCCATATGCTAAAATGGTGATTATATTATTATTTTAATAATAATGAAATTGCTACACTAAGCCCCTGAATGTCTTTTTTGACAATGATAACTCTGAAAATAGACTTGAGAAGCTTACATTTTTCCTAAGTTTCTGTCAGATTTGCTCTTGCACTGTGCTGCTCTCCATTCCATTCAGTGCACAGTCCAGGAACAGCTGGGAACACCCTCCCATATGACCTGTACTTTACTATTTTTTTTGGCATAAAAGCTGCTCGAAAGCCCATGTTGTATTATAAATAGCACAGGCAGATTAAACTTCTATTTCTTCTGTGATAAACCCATTGGAGGGTTTTCTGGAGGCTTGTATTAGTTTTGCTCTATTCTTACAACAGACAATCCAGAAAGTCCAAATTGTTGCTCTGCTCTGTATTTTTGGCAAGATAAGCAAGACAGGAAGTGTTTAACTGCAGTCTCACATATTTTACTGCAGGTTAGACCTCAATCTCAAATGTATTTTCTATCTGCACTTACATTTCATGGGCATTTTTAAACTATAGCATATTACACCGTAGATGGCATCTAAGATTCAATATCAAAGATGGTTTAATATTGAAGCATTTTAAGCAGGTTTTTTTGCCCATAAAGAAAAAAATAAAGAAAATCTCTGAGGCTTTTTTCAGCAAAAGGTAACACAGGCAACATTTTGTATGTTAATTTTCTATGCCTTTCACAGTTAACCTATTGCAGAAGCAATTAGGAACAGACATTATAAACTGTTCAATTAGCCACTTAATTGCAGCAATGAAAGTCACAATGAAAATTATATATTAAAGCGGCAAAGTCTTTACCAAGGTAACATTAAGGAAAAGAACTTCAGTAAGCTGGGAGGAAAAGAGAGAGAAGCCTACAGAGACAGTTTTCAGTGAGCTACAAAAAAAAAAAAAATAAAAAGAGGGAAGAAAAAAATTAAAGCCTCCAGAGATCACTTCAGCAAACCCGTATGGCCCTCAGAATTTCATCAATTTTTAAGCAGTAATTATCTTGCTGCAAAGAATGAGCCACACGTTCACCCAGATCCACATTCTCTGCACTTCATGTTGATGTGCTGAACCAGTAAATGGAGATCTCCATTTGTGTGAGAGAGGAATTGAGCTGAGCACAGCTGGCCCCTCCTGTCAGGGACCTGTGCACAGCCAGGTCCCCCCAAACCTCCAGGCTGAGCCCCCCAGCTCCCTCCACACCTCTACAAATCTTGATGCGCACACTGGCAATGAAAAATAGTTTAATTGGGATCCTGGGTGGACCTACCCACATCCAGACCCAATGGGGAAATGACCTGAAACACTCTCTGGTAAATATCTGTTCCTCTCCTGAAGGAAGCAATCTTTCCACATTAGAAATGCCAGCAGTATTTCTAATTATTAATCATCTAAGTGGGCAGCTGCCTCAGTGAGTGCTACTTTAAAGAAATGTTTTTCACCATTATCTGTTGAAATTAATATGCACTGGTGCCACAAATAGTATCTTCACATAATGGTGATACAGAACTTTTACCACAGGCTGTCAAACACAAAGTTAACCTGACAGCATTGCTAGTTTCACTGAATTACTTCTTTCAATATTATTTAATCACTCTGTTCATGTACTTGTCTCTAGCTTGTGTTATGCAAAAAATCCAGTCTCACATTCACATGTTTTCTTTAGTGCACTTCAATAAAAACCTGGTATTTTTATAGCTTCCTCTATTACCAAAGATTAAAAATATAGGTGCTGAATAGACATAAATCCCCACATTAAACACCTTATCAAAAAGCTAATACTTTCATAGCTACCATTATTGCCAAAGATTTAAAAAAGTATGTGCTGGATAGAGAGATAAATTACAGTATTGCACCTTTAAAAACCACCTCATCCCAGAGGAAACGTTTTATCACGGTAAATTCTGCACCATATACTTTAAAGAAATTAAAGATGAACATTTTCTTTTCTATTTCAGTTAAGATGTCAAAACCTCTCACTCCAGCTACAGCATTTCTGTATCCAATAGGTGTCCCTGCCCATGGCAGGGGGCTGGAACAAGATGTCATTGGGGTTCCTTCCAAACCAAACCGTTCTAAGATTAGCCTGAGATTAATAAAACAGCACATGATTCCTGACCATAGTAATTAACTTGTCCAAAATTTTGATGGTATAATAATAATATCCACTTTTAAGGTTTTATCTACACAAAGAGAAATCTGTTCACAAGAACTGGTGCAAGTTGTTCAGAGTCATGAAGCTTCTGGTGCCTTTCCCAGCAAAAAAATTCATTTCAGAGGCTGATCTGATGTGCCAGTCTCAATGAACCACCCTGGAGTCTCACACTGAAGGTGTGTTAGGACCCAGCAATTAGAGAAAATCACACTCCAGGCTCTGGGGAGACCCCAGCAAGCCCCAGAGAGTCCCAGGGATGTGGAAGGAGAACATTCAGGGCCCACCAGGCACATGACAAATAATCAATAATATCCATCAGATAAAAATATCCACCAGATATTATAAAAAAAATATATATATAATTTGATATCCATCTGTTAATATCCATCAGATACACCCCAGAGTTGTAGGCCAGCTTCACCACTCAGCCTGGCTTGAATCCTGACACCTCAGCAAACACCAGTGCTGCATTCTGACCTGCATAAAGACCAAATACCAAAAACCCCAGGCTTGGGGCACAGCACTTTTTATCCACAGATTAAAACTGAAAAAGCCTCTCCAATATATGCAGCACAAAAGAAAAGGCTTCCCAATGCACAAGAAGCCCCCAAAAAGGGATTATATCTTTCTTACTTCCACATACCTAAAAAAGTTTGGATGAGTGTTTGTAGATTCCCATCCTTGTTGGTCATGCATTCTCAAGCAGGTAAATGGGTTTCACACATTTGCACAAGAACATGTCAGAAAGTGAGGATTTTAGTGTTGGTAAGAAATCTAAACTACCCATGATCCTGCCCTCCTCCATTTTAAAATTTATGATATTGGGCTGTCATACATTAGAATGGCAGAGCTGGAAAAAGAAACCATATGAACTGTGGTGAAAAGAAGGATGAAGGTGATGAGATCCCATTATATGTGTAAAATACAGCATATTTACTCAATAGTACACTCCTTTGTTCCACAAAGGGTTACAAACTAATTCAGCATCAGAACTGACTGCTAGGAACCAGGAGCAATCCAGAGTCCAACGCATTTCAGGCATTTAATTTCACTTTCACTGGTCCTTGGAACATATGAAATCATTTTGTTCTAAGAAATATGCCACTGAAAATCCCTGTTGCAACCACCCACGTCAGAAATAATTCCAAGTATGTATTTGATTCTTCTGCCTAAAGCCTCTGCCACACATACAATCTAACTATCAAATCAAGTCAAGGGATTATGGTCTTAGTAAGGTAAATCCCAGGGATTCACATGGACCAGCTGATGTACAAGAGTGTAACACAGAGAGAGACCTAGTGACTGCATTTAATTTCTGCAAAATATTTACGGGAAAGGTTGGTTAACTATTTTTAAATGACCCTTGATTTAGAAAGGCTCTCTCAAATCAGAGAAATTTAAAGAACACAGCATTGAGATAATGCAGTGGTGTCAAGATTATGCAGTAAACTTGGATTAAATCCAAAAGTCTAAAAATACATCAGTCTGGCAAAATAATTTCAGTTTTGTGGTTGGGAGAGAAAGGTAAGTGGCTAAAGAATACCTTCAAGATCAAGAATGTATTTTATCTCCTCATTATAACACTATGGTTGCTCTGAGAATTATTATAATCTTTGAGATTATATGCTTAAAGCATAACTACCACAAAGAATGAAAATATTCCTTTAAGCTCACAGAAATATTCAAATTTGAAGATTTGTCCTTCAAAAGTCCTTAAAAACAGGATTGCTGCTATACCTATAATTAGCACACACTCTTGAGATTTCTGTGTTTTTTTAATAGAAATATTCTCTCAGGAGAGCACATCAACCTCACTCTTGAAAAAAATATATTTAAAAATTGCTAAACACTGAAAACATGCTTGCTGTTCTGAATGACACAATTTATTATTAAAAATCAGTAGCTCATCTTAAAGTAAAATATAAAAATGCACTGTATTTGGTT